TTTTAGAATACTCTATGACGAAAGCTAATAAAAGTTATATGTTTTTTCTATTCTAAGAGCTTTAGAAGTGTTTGTTTTTAGTCGAAATTCCGACCACGAATCCAGTGTATCTTATCTTTCTTTAATATTACTCTGTCATTAAATACTACATTAAGAATGTACTTAGTTGGATTTGAGGAAATCATAAAAACTTAATACTTAACAATGTAAGTTATCATGTTAACTTAATTAAATACATATATCTATTGTTTAAAAGTTAATTAACTAACATAATCAAAAAGCAGGAGTGGAAACATTTGTTATAAATATTATAAACTCTATAAAATTATTTTTTTCAGCTTATTATAACATTGAATGTTTTGAGCTACACAAATATCGACATCTACAGTTATTGCTTTCCGTTGCTGTTACTTAAGAAAACCATAATGAGGAGTCCTGCATTTCAAGCGAAGTTTTGTGGGACGGTTTAAATTAAATACATTTTTTGTTTTAATTTTTATCACTATTTTTATTTACAGTATCACAATCATTGCACGGAATTATAAATAAATAAAGAACGATCTCGAAAATCATCATCTCTTTTGAAATTAGTAATGATGGTAGCCATGAGCGGGCGCGGGCGCGGGGTGAACAGCGGGAGCGGTGTTGTGCACTACAGCGTTGAAACTGAAACAAATACAATAAATAAAACATATTATATATGAATAAGTTGAAGTTTAAAATTAGTAGAAAACGTGTCGTTCGAAAATGAATCGAGTTTTTTTTTATTCAATATAAAATTACCCGGTGTGGTCATCGGCGGTGTAGTCAACGGTGCGCACGGAACCATCGGGCTGGAGCAGAGAGTAGGAACCGTGCACGGCGTCTCCGTCGCGGATCTCGTGCTGGGACTTGTGGTCACCGGTGTGAGGGTCAGCCACGGAGTAAGTGTAGTCGTATTTGGGGTGCGACTGTAAACAAAATATTGATAAGTATTTGCTCAAAACTCAAGTATTTAAGGAAGATTTAATTATTGCGGTTGACTTACGTAGTAGTCGTGTCCGGAGGTGTAGGCAACGGGGGCAGCGTGGGCAATGGGCACAGCGGCGTGGGCAAGAGGAGCGGCGTGGGCAAGAGGAGCAGCGTGGGCAAGAGGAGCAGCGGCGTAACCACCGTGGTGCACCA